TTTGTTGCCTTGTGCTGGCAGGTGCTCACCCTTGCTGTTACCAATAAACTTTCTCTCTTAAGGCCCGGGGCGGTACCGCCGGAGCACGAAACGCAACCCTCTGCGGAGATCGTGCGTGTCGAGTGTGCGAAATGCAGGCGAGAGCGCGTTTGTGGCTGTCCGGCGCAACCCTCTGCGGAGATCGTGCGTGTCAAGGGCGCGAAATGCAGGCGAGAGTGCGTTTTGGATTTGGCGCGGGCAACCCTCTGCGGAGATCGTGCGTGTCGAGCGCGCAAAACGCAGGCGAGAGTGCGTTTTGAGGCCCGGTCGCGGGCAACCCTATCGTGCGTGTCGAGAGCGCGAAATGCAGGCGAGAGTGCGTTTTGCATTTGTCGCGGGCAACCCTCTGCGGAGATCGTGCGTGTCGAGGGCGCAAAATGCAGGTGAGAGTGCATGTTGGATTTGTCCGGCGCAACCTTCTGCGGAGATCAGGCGCGTGGAAGGCGCGAAATGCAGCTGAGATAACGCGTCGGAGTGGTCTTGCTTCACTTTGTGGGAGTTGGACTCAGAAGTGGCCAGTTTGTAGTACAAATATGGTTGCTTCTAGTGTGTGGGCAGTGATGTCACAGTGCCATGCGGATTTGCGAGGCCTTGGTGGAAAGTGCGTTTGCGTGGTGCCGGGCCACTGACTGGGGAGCACGAAACACACTGGCGTAAACGCGGCGTGTCGCTGGTGAGCGGCATGATTTGTGGTATCGTGGGACATTTTTGCTTCTAGTCTGTGTGAGCAGATCGTATGGCGACGCGAGGTTTGTGATGTCGCAGCGCCCTGCGGATTTGCGCGGCCTTGGTGGAAAGTGCGTTTGCGTGGCGCCGTGCCACTGGGGAGCGCGAAACATGCTGGCGTAAACGCGGCGTGTCGCTGGTGAGCGAGAGGATCGGCAGTAACACGGGCAAGGCTATCAGACGCTCTCGAGTGGAGAACACAGCGAGAGCAGGATATCAGAGACGCTTATGCTGATAGGAGCCGGCGAACTGCTTTGGATTATGTCACAGACCAAGACAACTACAGCTTTAAGTCCATAGAAGCGTGGCCTTTGGATGCTGCTGTCATTTACAGGCCTACGGATCGAGCATCGCTGTTGCTTGTAAGTTTGAAAGCTGCGTGTAGCTTGCAAGACATTGTGGAGACCTCGTCTTTGAAGGTCACTGTGGTTGTCACCATGTGCGCGCAGGAGATGAAGATCGAAGGTGCACCGACAGATTGGACGAAATACTTTCAACAACAAGATGTCTTTCACATCCAGTGTCACTTGGAGGACATGACATCACGATCATGACAAGCGACTCGTGTATTCCAAGATATTCCAAGCGAACATCGCTTGTCATGAAGGTGAAGTACACACATACTAACGTCACGATGACTCTTTTGTGGCAGCCGCTGATCGCGTCATTTGAGTGAAGATGTCGTAGGTTCGTCCCGGACAGTTTCGACGGACAACCCGCGACATAAATTAGCCTCGGTGTGTTGCGCTGAAGTCTCTCTGCCATTCCGCGCGCAAACCTTCCAGGTGCCACAACGCTTACAAGACATAGGGTCGATTGCACCAAGGACGCAAAGCTGGTCTTTTTTGAAGCAGCAACTGCACGGCCTCCAGTGCGGAATGTTCGTAAGCGACAATGAGCCAAGCGCGCAAAATCCCCGCGCTCCGATTGGTGCCACCAAAGCAGTGAAAGAGCACGTGCATGGATTTGTCCCGGGCGACCGCCAGCATGGACTGTTCGCTGCAGACGATTTTCCACTTACGTCCATTTCGTGGAAACTTCAGTGTGAAATGTACGTTCTTCAGTTCTATTCGAACCTCTTCAGCTTTGCACTTGCACAACTAAGGTTGACGTTGCGCTGCCGCTGCGTCGACGCATCTACGTCTACACCCCCTCACCTCTGTACATTTACATCTTCACACGCTCACATCCGCAGATCTACCTCTCCACCTCACCACACCCACACATCTGCACATCTATATCACATCTGTACATCCACACTGTCACTCCTTCAAAACCTGTCCTGTCTTTCTTTCGTTCTACATATCTTTTCTCTCGCCTCTGTACATTTACATCTTCGCACGCTCACATCCACAGATCTACCTCTCCACCTCCATACATCTACACATCTATATCGCACCTGCACATCCACACTGTCACTCCTTCACGTCCGCCCTCTCTTTCTCTCTTTCTATATATCTTTTCGACAGTGCTGGACAATCACATGTCCCGCTCTCGGGCCAACCGTCGTCTAGTTTTCATTGACGCACGTGCCAAGTTCCAAAACGCTTGTGCTTGCCAACCTTCACATTACTCGGTGTGGTCGGACTACAAGACTGCAAAACTCCATGTTTTAGACTTGTGTCCAGTGCTTAAGGACACAAGCAGCTTGGATGCAAGTGGACGATGGAGGCTCATTTGGATTTGATTAGTGATGAGTGCTTAGATGGCGCTCAGTGTTCAAACCATTTCAGTTCTTCAGTGTGTTTCAGCAGATTGCTCCAACTGCCTGCCGCAGATTTGCACTATAGATTCAAGTGGTTGATTGGCAGTTTTCTCATGTTTTTTTCACAGGTTAAGGTTTGTTTTGATTTTCTCAGGCAAGGGACCGTCGAGGATGGTGTCGCGTACGAATTACTTGTGCGGCATGCGGCTCCCAGCCTCATTTAGAGTGCACCATGTCCACTCCACTGTCAGTGACCAGCGTTGGGATTGCAGGCAGTTGGCTCCTGCATCAAGAATGCTTGACAACCCCCAAAACAGCAACAAAGGAAGCCGAAGGAAACCTGTGCTTGGGTGAAAGGCATGATTTTGAACCTGTCAGTATTGTCAAGATGCCTGATATCACTTGCACCGAGGTGCCCACCAAGGTTGCACAGCGCTGTGTCCAGTCTTGTGGTCGAGATTTTCCATATGCGTTTTGGCAGCAATAAACGATTTCACCTGCAAGCACAGTTTGCTTGGCAATGGAAGAAGTATGAAGAAGTTCATCACATGAAAAGGTTGTATTTCCGAAATTGGATATATATATATATATTGGCATAATTGTACATATGATAAGTCAGTCTGAGGCACT